TCTAAACGACCATTACATTTGTTTCGTCTTATAAAACAAGAGCAATGCGTTTAAAACCTCTTTTGGTTAGAACATAGTGTACAAGAGACCAACAGTTTGTGCGCGAAATCATTTGAATACGAACATCGATGAGGCTTTTATGAAAGTGGTCGACTAAGCATAGCCAGAAAACAATTGGCCAGCATAGCCGAAGCTATGCTTCCTTGAAAACAAAGCAGATATCACAATAAGCCATTTCACTTTGGACAAAGGATTAATCTTGCATTCAGCTGAGAAGCCTTACGAGAATCCTTGAGAAAATGATTTCCAAAAAAGTGTCAAAAATTATACCACCACCATCGAACATCTGTTTTGAAGATGTACAGTACAGTACTATAGAAATATTTCGACTAAGCAAGTGCTAGTCTTCTTCACATTTACGCAAAATCAAAATCGAAGCTACTTGTCTAAACCTGTATGAAATCAACCTGGTTAATCCTCGCCGCCAGAAGCGTCACTTAAACCGGCGGCGAAGGTTAACCGCATTACTGAACAACATACTAGTTTTCGAAAATACCATAATAGTTAAGTAATATGCTGCACTGCCACTTCAATGGTTGTGGATAACAAGGAACAGACAGGTCGTAACATTTATTATAACCATGGGTGCTTCAACCAGATCACGTTGGCCGTTCAAATGGCAAACAATCCTGCCAGGATGAAGAGTCAATAGTTAAAAGACAAAACTTTTATCTTTTTCCCTGTCCTTAGGACTACTCAACTCACAATATATTGATGAAAAAGACTGAACTGAAAGACATGGTTTCAGAAACTAGGTCAGAGGTTTATAAAACTTTCAACTAACAAAATCATAACTAAGCCCACCAGAAGTTCAGAAAATTGCCAAGTGCGACATTTCGAGCAAAACAGATTTGGTCTTCTTCGCATAAATCATAATGGAACATTGTGACGCCAGAAAGTAAACGATGTTTATAAATTACATAATACGATTCATACACGCAGTAAGAGAAACACACATTTTCATACACAAAACATGACCGAGGAAAGCCGTGTTGCCAACGGAATACCGGCACCGCCACTATCAGAACTGCAGTATCCTATCGTCTGCACCAAAGTTAACTAGCTAAAGAGAAGGTCACTCGTTGCACTGAATATTTGGCACGTCTGTCTACAGTGTTTTCAACGCAAACATGAACTTTGCTGTTGATCGTAGAGAAAAAAGACGCGTGATATTCTTGAAATCTTATCAAGTGACGTTCGTGAGGTCTTGACTCAGACGAACGGTTAAAAAGCTATGTGCCAAAATCGTTTTTCGGCCGACACAAGTTAAATAGTGTCATGGCAAACGTGTTTACCCGATATTTCGAACAAAGTGAAACGCCAAGAAACCTGAAATCGTCACCATCAGTGAGGCAATGCAAGAAACGTGAGGAAGAGAAAACTTGAAAAGTTATATACCTGAGAAGTCATATAAGCTGTTCACACGAAAGTGATATCGTTTAAGCAATAAACTGAACGAACAACAATCAGTCGAGCAGGTTGCATTTCAGTGCAATGCATCGGCACTCGACCACCTCCTCCAAGTAATGAATCAGCTGCTCGAAAAGTGTAACGAATATAGGCTGTCCATTTACAAGATAATCACCGACTATCAAATGGTAGAGCGCATTAAGTGATCTTCCGTGGGTTGGAAAAACTAGCAACAGAAGGTGTTACAGACAAATTGTAAAAGAACTGTACTCAAGCTGCAACAAAGAAATCTAGTTGAGAAATCTAGTTGTTTTTTCGAAGATCCGATTGATATCAGTGATTCCCATGCAGTTCGCGAAGGAGACACCATATCATCCACGCTGTTTGTCACATATATTGAGTCAGTGTTCCGAAAAATGAAGTGAGAAAGGATTTTCAATCAACAGCCGACGGATCAATGATCTTCGATTCGCTAACGACATAATGCTCTTGAAGCCATGCTATGCGAACTAGAGTTACGGAACAAGATGGACATCGCATGAACAGAGTGAAGCGAGAAACGATGATAAAGAAACTTGCCCAATCAGCTACCAGCTGCCATCAATCATGGCCAAAAGTAAGCAGTCTCATAGTACGTCTTCTTGCAACAGGTAATCGTGCCATACCATTCCTTGCGCTCAGAGCTCGCCAGAAGGCGTCAAGGGTCGTGGAGTAAACACAGAAGAAACACCGACATCGAGAACGTAAAATTAGACTCACGGTACTGACAAAAACTCTGTATGGTTGGAAAAACAGGGCAATAACGAAGAAAAGATGAAGAACCGTTTGGAGCGCAGATATGCGATATGGAAAGAAGAATTCGCAAGAAATAAAACGACAATGGGTAGGTGATATCGCAGACCGACGGATACCCGACGGATTTCGTCAGTGATCGATCGGTACCCAACAGGTTGCCAGAGCCTAATCGCGGGAAATCGACTCAGACTGGACGATGGATAAGAAACTAAATAACTGAATAAGGGATGTATGGAAGCTTCTGGCAACAAATCGCAGGCGACAGACGGGCAAAGCCATAGACTATAGCGATTGCCGTTAATTATGAGGAAGCATCAGTGTCATTTAAATAACGCATATTTCAAAGGTGACAGCATCACACCGTTGCTCACAGTTGCGGGAACTGTTTAAGCAGATCCCTATTCAATGGTATTTGGGCAGCTGCAACGCCAGACGCATCTCGAATCATTCTGTAAGCTACAGTCACCCCTTGTTCATCACCAATGGTGCTTCAGGAGCTATGGGCTACTATCGCACAAATATCATCAGTTGCTCGTCCGTTCAAGTTTGTGAAGTAACAAAT